GCGCCCTCGTCCGCCGGAGACCCGCGCGCAGGAGGGAGGGAAGGGAAGGAAGGCAGGGAGCAAGGCAGGAGGAGGAGGAGGAGGAGGAGGAGGAGGAGGAGGAGGAGGTGGGAGGACGGGGGAGGAGGAGGAGGATGTGGGAGGACGGGGTAGGATCTTGGAAGGGGAGGAGGGGGGGGGGGGGCAGATCACGTAGAATGAGGAGGAAGGAGGAGGAGGGGAGGAGGAGGAGGAGGGATGTGGGGGGGGTCCAGCGCCGATTCAAGAAACTTGCGCATACTGTCGGAAACTTATGTGTATGTGGTTTCCCTTGTACAGAGGAGCCCTCGGAAATCGTGCTGAGGGGCTAACACGACTTGGACCCTAGAACCCCACCCCTCCCTGGGACCAGTTGTTCCTTCACCACTCAAAGCGTAGTACATCCAGAAGGACGCGTCAGCACGACAACGTTGTAAGACCGCCGTAAACATGTCGAGCACTGCAGCAACCATGCGTTGGGGAAGAAGGAGGGGAGGAGAGGAGCAGGAGAGGAGGGGAGAGGGATAGAGAGAGAGAGAGAGACAGAGCTGAAAGGGTATACAGAAGAAACATAAACACCTGGAGGCAGTTTATGCGTTTCAGTAGCATACGGTTGTCTTGGCCGACTTCGTCGCCGATGTTCCGTCCAAGAGTCTTGCATGCGATCTGACGCGCGAGAGACGCAGGCCCACCGAATGTCAGTTCTCGTATTGGATAGTTTTAAGTCGGGCCTGTCCCTCTACAGGAGGAATATTACAACTAGTGAAGCATAGCCTGGGAACGCTTTTTCTATGATTTTTCAGCATTGTGGGTAATTTTGTGTCATTGTTTCATTTTTCGTTCAAAATCCGACAGTAGGAGGAAACCCGACCTAAGGATAGTTTTCCGATGGCCCGGGGGCTGCCGACATCGGATTCTGAAGGCTCTGATTCGCGAGAGAATCCTGGTCTGGGAGGAATGCGGCACAACTCCTCCTGACCAGTTCCATTTCTTTGAGCCGCGTCCACCTGTGGCGACGAGGGGACCCCTTCAATGGCCAAATAAGGGGGATGGGAGAAGGAGGAGGAGGAGGAGGAGGAGGAGGAGGAGGAGGGGGAGGAGGAGGAGGAAGGGGAGGGAGGAGGAGGAGGCGGAGGCGGAGGAGGAGGAGGGGGGAGGAGGAGGAGGAGGAGGAGGAGGATCTTAATGCTCTCTCTCTTCCCTCTCTCCCTGCTGTCGCTATCTTCTACATGACATTCTCCCTCCCGGCTGGCGACTCTTGGCGCGAATGCTCCAGGAGTCGCCAGGCTCCCAGTTGGATCCCCCCCCAGGGCCGACCAGCCTTGGGGGGGGACTGCCGCGTCTGAGCGACAATGTCTGCAGTCAGCGGGTCAGTGGCTCGCGAGGGGGTCGAGATGACCAGCTCGAGCGAGTCAGCGGGCTACGCTTAAGTCGGGCCTGTCCCTCTACAGGGGGAATCTTCAAAGATGGTCAAAAAATAGTCTGGGGACGATCTTTTGACAACTTTTGCATATTTGGGGGTCATTGTTTGAGTATGCTTTTATTTGTCCCAACCCTCCTGCGTTGGGTACTCGTTTTGAATAGAGCACTGCGGTCTCCACCTTCTTTCCTTCCCGCCCCCCCTCTCTTCCCTCCTCCTCTCCTCTCTTGCTTGCCTTCTCCTCCTCTCTTCTCTTCTCTTGCCTTTTACGTCATCTCTGGGGGGCTGCGATCTGCGGAACTGTCGCCACTTTCGAGGGCTGCTGGTGGGTCCAGCGGAGTGAGGCACCACGGGGATTCAGATTAGACCTCGCCATCCCTGGGGGGGGGCTGCGATCTGTGAAACTGTCGCCACTTCGAGGGCTGCTCAGTGGGCGGACTCAAATTAGACCTCGCCATCCTGGGGGGCTGCGATCTGTGAAACTGTCACCACGTTCGAGGGCTGCTGGGGTCAGCGGAGTGAGGCACCACGGGGACTCAGATTAGACCTCGCCATCTGGTGGGGGCTGCGATCTGTGAAACTGTCGCCACTTTCGAGGGCTGCTGGTGGGTCCAGCGGAGTGAGGCACCACGGGGATTCAGATTAGACCTCGCCATCCCTGGGGGGCTGCGATCTGTGAAACTGTCACCACTTTCGAGGGCTGCTGGTGGGTCCAGCGGAGTGAGGCACCACGGGGACTCAGATTAGACCTCGCCATCCCTGGGGGGGGGGCTGCGATCTGTGAAACTGTCGCCACTTTCGAGGGCTGCTGGTGGGTCCAGCGGAGTGAGGCACCACGGGGACTCAGATTAGACCTCGCCATCCCTGGGGGGGGGGCTGCGATCTGTGAAACTGTCACCACTTTCGAGGGCTGCTGGTGGGTCCAGCGGAGTGAGGCACCACGGGGACTCAGATTAGACCTCGCCATCTCTGGGGGGCTGCGATCTGTGAAACTGTCGCCACTTTCGAGGGCTGCTGGGGTGGCCAGCGGAGTGACGCCCCACGGGGACTCAGATTAGACCTCGCCATCTCTGGGGGGCTGCGATCTGCGAACCTGTCGCCACTTTCGAGGGGTGCTGGGGTGGCCAGCGGAGTGACGTCATACGGGGATTCAGATTAGACTTCGCCATCCCTGGAGGGCTGCGATCTGTGCAAATGTGTCATTTCCCGCGGGCCGCCCGCAGACCTGGCGGCGCGCCTGCGAACGTTCAGCTCCCGCACTAAATGTGCAGGGATGAGGCGGAGAAGCCTGCGGGCGAGCTAAGTCTCGCTCGCTTCTTGCACTTACTATAAGCAGGTTTGAGCCTGTGGAACGCTGCGACGACATGGCGCAGGCAGCGCTCAGTGTTTAGCGTGTACCTGAAAACGCGGCGCTTTTCTGTCTCCTCCCGCCACCTTCATTGTCGTCCTATTCCCCGCTTCGCCTGCTCCATGCATGCTGCTGCTGCCGCGATGGCCTTTCGCCCCCCCATTCCATCCTCCTCCTGCCCCTCGTTCCCGTCCCCGTTCTTCTTCGAGCCTGGGGCCTGGATCCTCGTTCTTTCGATCGTCGTCCTGTGAGTCGTGCAACGCATGCGCGTCCCATGTAGATTGCGCAACAAATCACCGTGTCTACATTGTCGCTGTTCCTGCCAATGTTGGCCTACTCCTCTTGCCACTTGATGCACATGGGTTGGGTACGTCGCAGGGTAATTCGCCCAAAATTCCCCTGCAGGGGGACACGCCCGACTTCAGGCTACGCCCAGCCCCAGCTCCCACAACCATACGAAGCGATGTTGACGCAAGTGGATCTCGGGACCCGCGCGGATTCCCACCTGGAGAGAAAGGTAGGCGTTTGCGCGCGGCCACTCCTCCGCTGACGTGGCGAGAGGAAGAAGACTTGGCCGCGCAGAAGTGAGAGCGGAGCTCCCAGGATTCCCTGCTCGGCGGCTCTCGAAGAACATCACATTGGGGCGTCGCGTAGTGGGGGGCGATCACATGGGTGGCAGCGATAGTTGCCGAAAAAGGGCCCTTGAAGCCCACGAGGTGACCTTCAGAGCCCAAAAGGTGACCTTTAGGGTCCGAAAAGTGCACCTTTATTCTCCCCATTCATCGCCCCCCGCAAGCGTCTCCCAACACTGCATAAACATAAATGTTCGGAGTTCGGGCGCGGATTTCTTGGATCTGCGCTGGGCCACCCCTGGCGGCGCCACCGGCGCCGCCCCTGGCGCGCTCCGCGCGCCAGCGAGGGGTGGCCCAGCACAGATCCAAGATAGCCGCGCGGATCTCTGACAGTTGATGCGTTTCTGCGGTTTTTCCGTCCTCTGGGTTCGGCGAGAGCACCTGTTGAGCCCTCTTGCTCGAAGCCGCACCTCCGGTGGAGGCGGAAGAGGAACGTCATGCGCCGCGCCGAGGCGTGGGCGCCGCTCCCAGGGTGAAGTCTGCGCGACGCGTCGGCACGGGCGACGTTCCGCCCGCCGGCGGCCTCGCCAGGGGCCCTGCCAACACCAGTACGCTTGCAGAGCGGTTGCCACTGCGACCTCACAAAAGGCTGATGGATGATGTGGCAGAGCCTGCGCGGGGAGAAATAACTACCAAGGCCTTGCGTCGGACTGGGCTGCTGGGGGACAGCGTGGGGAGAGGGAGCGGGGGCGGCGCCCTGCGGAGGTGAGGTCGGGGGCTCGGTGCGGAAAGAAAGTGGTCGGGGCGGAGGGGACACTGGGCTGCTGGGGGACAGTGGTGAAGGGGGGCGGGAGCGGTGCTTTGCGGGGGGGGGGGGGAGGGTTCACGCGAAATTAAGTGGTCGGGGCGGGGGGGGGCGCTAGGCTGCTGGGGGCAACGGGGAAAGGCGGCGGGGGCGGTGCCCTGCGGGGTGGGGAGAGGGGCTGCGGAGCGAACATAAAATGGTCGGGGCGGAGGGGGCACCCAGCTGCTCGGGGACTGGAGGGAGGGGGCGGAAGCAGTGTCCTGCCGGGGGAGGGGGGAAAGGCCGGTGCGAGAATAGAATGGTTGGTGCCGAGGGGGCGCTGAGCTGTTGGGGGACGGGAGAGGGGGTGGGGGGCGGCGTCCTTCGGAGGGGAGGGGAGGGGAGGGAAGGGGGGGAGCGGTGCGAGACTAGAATGGTCGGGGCGGAGGGAGTTCTGGGCAGCTGGGGACGGTGCGGGAGGTGAGGCGGGAGCGGGAGAGAGGTGGGGATGGTGCCCATTTGGGGGGAATTGGAGGGTGTGTGTGCGAGGCGATAATATAATGGTCGGGGCGGAGGGGGCACTGGGCTGCTGCTGGATAGTGGGGAGAGGAGGCGGGGGCGGTGTCCTGCTCGGGGGAGGGAGGGGGGGGGGCGCGGTGCGAAAATCAGGTTGTCGGGCCAGGGGTGCGCTGGGCGCAGAGGGCATCGGGCTGCTGGAGAACACCTGGGCTGCTTGGGAACGCCCTGCATGGGGAGGGAAGAAAGGATGGAGTATGGTGCGAGAAGAGTGCGGCCAGGGCGGAGTGGGCTCTGCGCTGCTTGGGGACAGCGGGGAGAGGGGGCGGGAGCATTGTCGTG